TCTTATTATGTATCTGTTTCCTAATGGTTTCCTAACATTCTGTTAACTTTTTTTTTTATTGTCACTGCATGCGGATCAGATATTTGCAGTGTGGTAACAGCTATTTTAGACTCCATCATTTGTATGTATAATTGGAATTATTTTTTTCTAGTGTGCATTATTTTGCACCTATCAACATGAAATATCAGACTGCATTTACATATAGTGTATGTGAAGGTACAGATAAATGTATTGCCACAGCTTCAACAATGAAGTGGTACTGAGTAAGTCACTGAGAACAGAAGGTTATATATAAAATCATATCCTGCTTTCTAGAGACTAAATGTAACCAGTTACTCTTTTGTATAAAGAAGTTTATCTCACCCAAAGTGTTTCCTGCAGTGGTTCACCCAAGATTGGGGTGGATCTGGTTTTCATGTAAGGCCTCACATGGCATTCTTTAAACTAGAATGTGTATACTAGAATCAGGATATTCTTAATTGCAACTGGAAAGAGGATTATAAGAGGTCCCCATGCTCAAAGAGGTATTCACAAGTTTAAAATTAAACATCTATGTATGTCTTTGCAGGATAAGGACCTAATGTTGTATGATCCTTATGGAATTCACAGCCTTCACTGATTTTAACTAACCTAAATAACTTTGCCAATAAGCGTTGCCATTTTAATTCCTTGTTCATTTCAACCACCCCCCTCCCCCGCAGTCCAAAGCTTTTTGCTAGTCTAAGTAAGTAAAATGGATCAATTGTTGATTGTCTACCTTGTTAGAACTTTTTCATGGAATTTTCTTGTTAGAGAAGCACAAAAGTTGTGCTAAATTTGTTTCAATCGCATTAATTTATGTGCTTTATCACTGTATAAAGTGAGTAGGGCCAGGTGCTGACAGTAATTCCAGAAGAAAATATAAACTTTTTTTTTAACATTTAGGATAAAACTCCCTCATCAAAGAAGTAGGTTGATTTGTTAGCCTGTGGGAAAGCAACATTGTCCAAACAAAGTGCATTATTTCAATACAGATATTTAATGATTCCCCAGAGCAGAAGAAATGCAGATTTCTCCCTGACACGAGAAGGCATTAAGTATTCCCACCAGAAATCAGGGAGACAAAACAAGTCTGTTTTATTCACTTGGGAGGCAAAAAATTCCATGTTCTTTTTATCTGGACCCTTGCATGCTGTTGAAATGCTGTGTGGATTTATCTTATATTAGTGTAGTCGACTAAAATCGACCCTAAAATCTTCAGACTAGATTATATGGAAATTAAAATTTCAAGCAGTATTAATGCATGTTCCCTGACACAAAAGCAGCTAAAATGATACATATATACAATATGAATGCTAGCTCACTGAAAAGTGATTATATTAAAACAGGAATGGGGATACGACCCCTGGCTTGCCTGGATTTGGTCCCTGAGACTCAGCATTGGGGAGCCTGTGCTGGTGCTCCAACCCCCCAGCAGGACTGGAACACACAAAATCTACTAGCCTGGGTCCCCTTAGGCTCTGGTGTGCGAGGGAAATGTGGGGAGTGTCTTTCCTCCTCCTCAGTCAGAGGCTTCTCACTTGTGTGCAGCCCCCAACTGATTTTTCTGAGAGTCAGCAGCCCCCTGACCCAAGAAGGGTTCCCTACCCCTGTATTAAAAGCTCTTCCAAAAAGAGAGTGTTTTCAAACATGTGAATGGAGAGCAGAGCAGACAGACTGATGCGGAAGTCCATAGTTACCAATATCCATGTTGTAGGGGGCACTACGTAAAGGATTCATACCCATCTTCTCCAGTCTGCAGTGACTTGTCAGTCTTGACCTCTGTGGTTGAAATGCCTGCAGCAGCTTCACTGTGAGGCCGAGCAGCTTTGCTGCAGGAGGCTGCAGCACTCACCTGCTCTCCTGCTTAGTCAGCCCAGACTTAGCTGAGTTACTCCCTTTTGAGCATGCCCAGCAGTGAGTGAGCGTGTGTACTTTTCTGTATCCAGAGCAACTCCTTAACCCTTGCTTCATCCTTGTGGTGTTGATATGCCCCATCACAATCAGATTGTGCATTCGCTGAATGATTTCATCTGGAGAGTTCCTTGCAATCTTTGGTCAAGGGGGAAAAAGGCTCCCTTGGCATCAATGCGTCTGTAATAATATTTTTTTAAAGTCTTTTAATATTACAGCTATATTTACAACAAATATGGTGGTCCCCAAGCAAGTCCACAGGAGAGGCATATTGATTCCAGGCTGTAAATAAATGTTCTAAGTGGGGAGCAAGGGGATTTTTCAAAGTGCCATTCTGCCTCCCTGAGGAGAGACAGCCTACAAAACAGCTTTGTCTGTGGGTTTGATAGAGTGATTTATGACTCCATGTTGGATAAAGGAGGAAATGCAATGTCTACATTTTATCTCACTATATAAGCTGTAGGCATATTACATATAGATACTTTAACTTATCAGAACAAGCTGTATAGTGGAAGAAGAAGATTGATCAGTTTTTATTTTACTTACAACAATAAGCAAATGAAACGGCAACATAGTATTTAGGCCTCAGAGTGCCATAGATAGAGGAACAATAATTGGGTTGATTTAGATTCCATAAAAGTGAATAACTGAATCAGCATTCTTGTACAAAAGTTGGGGGAAATAAAGTTTTATGCTTTCAGTCTAAAAAGCACTTTTCTCTCTCTATATATATATAAAAAAGTTTTTCCTGCAGGATGACAGAGTGATGTCACTACATCACTCTGCATCCCATAGCCCCTCCCCCTTCAGACAATTGGGTTGATTTAGATTCCATAAAAGTGAATAACTGAATCAGCATTCTTGTACAAAAGTTGGGGGAAATAAAGTTTTATGCTTTCAGTCTAAAAAGCACTTTTCTCTCTCTATATATATATAAAAAAGTTTTTCCTGCAGGATGACAGAGTGATGTCACTACATCACTCTGCATCCCATAGCCCCTCCCCCTTCAGACACCCCCCCTCCCCGCTGGCCCCCTACCAGTGCTGAGGGCCGCAACTTCCCTTGTGCTGGGGG